CACACAGAGACACGGAGTTTAGAAAAACACACACAGACACGGAGTTTAGACAAACACACACAGAGACACGGAGTTTAGACAAACACACACAGACACACGCAGTTTAGACAAACACGCACACAGACACGGAGTTTAGACAAACACACACACAGACACACGGAGTTTAGACAAACACACAGACACGGAGTTTAGACAAACACACACACAGACACGGAGTTTAGACAAACACACAGACACGGAGTTTAGACAAACACACACAGAGACACGGAGTTAAGACAAACACACAGACACGGAGTTTAGACAAACACACAGAGACACGGAGTTTAGACAAACACATACAGAGACACGGAGTTTAGACAAACACACACACAGACACGGAGTTTAGGCAAACACGCACAGACACGGAGTTAAGACAACACACACACAGAGACACGGAGTTTAGACAAACACACAGACACGGAGTTTAGACAAACACACACAGAGACACGGAGTTTAGACAAACACACGCAGAGACACGGAGTTTAGACAAACACACACAGAGACACAGAGTTTAGACAAACACACACAGACACACGGAGTTTAGACAAACACACACACACAGATACACGGAGTTTAGACAAACACACACAAAGATACACGGAGTTTATAAAAAAACGCACACAGACACGGAGTTAAGACAAACACACACAGACACGGAGTTTAGACAAACACACACAGACACGGAGTTAAGATAAACACACATAGACACGGAGTTTAGACAAACACACACAGAGACACGGAGTTTAGACAAACACACACAGACACGGAGTTTAGACAAACACACAGAGACACGGAGTTTAGACAAACACACACAGACACACGGAGTTTAGACAAACACACAGAGATACGGAGTTAAGACAAACACACACAGACACGGAGTTTAGACAAACACACACAGAGACACGGAGTTTAGACAAACACACACAGACACACGGAGTTAAGACAAACACACACAGAGACACGGAGTTTAGACAAAAACACACAGACACGGAGTTTAGACAAACACACACACAGACACACGAAGTTTAGACAAACACACACAGAGATACACGGAGGTTAGACAAACACACACAGAGACACGGAGTTTATACAAACACACACAGAGACACGGAGTTTAGACAAACACACACGAGATACACGGAGTTTAGACAAACACACACAGAGACACACGGAGTTTAGACAAACACGCACACAGAGACACGGAGTTTAGACAAACACGCACACAGACAAGGAGTTTAGACAAACACACAGAGACACGGAGTTTAAACAAACACACACAGAGACACAGAGGTTAGACAAACACACACATAGATACACGGAGTTTAGACAAACACACACAGATACACGGAGTTTAGACAAACACACACAGAGACACGGAGGTTAGACAAACACACACATAGATGCACGGAGTTTAGACAAACACACAGAGATACACGGAGTTTAGACAAACACACACAGAGATACACGGAGTTTAGACAAACACACACAGATACACGGAGTTTAGACAAACACACACAGAGACACGGAGGTTAGACAAACACACACATAGATACACGGAGTTTAGACACACACAGAGATACACGGAGTTTAGACAAACATACACAGAGACACGGAGTTTAGACAAACACACACATAGATGCACGGAGTTTAGACAAACACACAGAGATACACGGAGTTTAGACAAACACACACAGAGATACACGGAGTTTAGACAAACACACACAGATACACGGAGTTTAGACAAACAGACACAGAGACACGGAGGTTAGACAAACACACACATAGATACACGGAGTTTAGACACACACAGAGATACACGGAGTTTAGACAAACAGACACAGAGACACGGAGGTTAGACAAACACACACATAGATACACGGAGTTTAGACACACACAGAGATACACGGAGTTTAGACAAACATACACAGAGATACACGGAGTTTAGACACACACAGAGATACACGGAGTTTAGACAAACACACACAGAGATACACGGAGTTTAGACAAACACACACAGATACACGGAGTTTAGACAAACACACACAGAGATACACGGAGTTTAGACAAACATACACAGAGATACACGGAGTTTAGACACACACAGAGATACACGGAGTTTAGACAAACACACACAGAGATACACGGAGTTTAGACAAACACACACAGATACACGGAGTTTAGACAAACACACACAGAGATACACGGAGTTTAGACAAACATACACAGAGATACACGGAGTTTAGACACACACAGAGATACACGGAGTTTAGACAAACATACACAGATACACGGATTCAGGAGAGACGGGGAGAGGAGCCGCACGGGACGAACCCGCCCGGGCGGGCACCGGCGAGGATCAGGATGAAGGTCGCGTGGAACCGCGGCCTCATTTCGGACCCCCACAGCGCAGGGACCCGGCAGGGAGTTCCAACGAGAGATAGAGGCAGGACCCTTCTTGCGGGATCCGTCGACGGTGGAGGAGACGCGAGGACTCATGGAGATGATGGAGTTGAGGAGGAGGAGGAGGATGATGATGGAGACTCCGACTCGTGGATGATAAAGCGGCGACTGGACCCCGAGAGTCACGAACCCCCCCCCCCCCCACACCCCCAACTGCCCCCTCTGTTGACGAAGTTTAATTAACGGGTGGCTCAGCCTGGGGCTCCCATCGTTGATCACTGCGACCACCACTTCCACTCAGCTCGAGATTTCATCTCGTCATTCTCTCTTCATCATCGTCGTCGTCATGCTCCTCCTCGAATCAAAATCACCCTCCTCTCATTCTCTCGCGGACAGATTTACGAATGGATTCTGCATCCCGTAACACGGCCCGCACATCCGGCAAGAAAGGCTGTGTACACGCACGTCCTAGTCAAGGCCCAGTGTGCATTGTTTAATGAAGGATGGACTTGGCCCTGTCATATGAATGTGGAACGATACATCTGGCTCAGTAGAACAAACAGAGTTGAGCACACCACGTGTTTGCTTGGATGAGGCCGTCATCCAGCAGTGGATTCAGCGAGAGGCTGGATGTACATGCATGCACACGTGATTGTTTTGGGACAATTCTTGTTGAGTCGGTTCTGTGGGCGGCAATAGCGGTTCGTAGTGCAATGGTGAGCGCACTATGAACCTCGGCAACACAAGTTCGATTCCCGCTCACAACCGTGGAACACCATTGGCGAATATCTGAACCGGTTCAGGGCCTCCCCTAGGGTCAACTCAGCCTTAAATGAGTACTTGGTGCGGTGTGCATCATTGGGACCTGCATCAAGGGGTCTTGGCGGCCTATAGGATGGCTCCACACTCCTCCACGGGGCTCTCCCCTGTTTGTCTAATGTACGGGCGGGAGCAGGAGCTTCCCAGAGAGTCAACTGGGCAAAGCCTCCAATACACGACGGGACGTACCCGTGACATTGCAGGTTACGCTCGAGTGGGTGTTGGAAGCACGTGCGGCGGCGGAGGAAAATGCCACCAGAACACAATCCGCTAGTGAGAAGAATGTCGGGCGTCGCAAGCACGTGCTTCCTTCGGCAGTCGGGGGAAAGGTGCGACTGCATTGCTCGCAGGTGCCCCTGCGTACATCGCCAAAATTGCACCGCCCAACTCGCGAGAGCTGGTCTAAATTGTAGAGGTGAATCAGCCACAGTGCGTGCGAGTACAGGTGGGGCGTCGCCGTTGGTTTGTTCACCCATCACGCCTCAAACCATAGTCCATCCCCACCACATCATCACATCTGCATGTCCTGTACGGCCGGGGTCTGGAGTGTCCGACGTGCCAGGGCAGCTGTCCAAAGTAACTGTGCGACCCGAAAAACGCATTGTGCCGCCCACAGAATGCCACCCTCTGAGTCGCAGAGGCCCACAAACCTCCGCTAGATGCAATGGACCGGCATCAAGGACCCGATCGAAAAGTTTACGGCTACGTTGATGGCTCTCCAAACCACGAAGATGGACTATCTTAATAATAATTATCAGAGTATGTTTTTTGTTTGCATTCTGACCACGAGTATTGTGGTTAATGCAGACATTATTCCTTGTAAAAGGTTTCAGTTTGGTGTTTTAACATCTTAACATCTGTTTTGTTGCCAAAAAAGAGGGGAAAACCTATTCTCATGGACTATCTTTTCTCACGTCCAATCATTGTTGTGTTCCTTGGTGCGGTTGTTCATTCGTTGCAAGATGGCTTACACCACTCACTCGTCATATTGTTGTTCTTCATTGCGAAAGTCGTGCGTCAGGTTCTCTTCGATGTGGATGTGTTTTGTCATTCTGCCCCTCTTCGATGTGGATGTGTTTTGTCATTCTGCCCCAATTGTTGATATTTTATAAAGTTCTTAGTATTAGCTGGGATGGCTACATTTTTAAGAGGTGGGGGGTGTAATGACAGTAGTCAAACTATGGTGTGAGTGGACTAGTGGCTACGGGAGGTAATGACAGTCACCCTGCAGTACGAATGGACTGGTGGCTACGGAAATGATCGAGAATAGGAGCATGGCCAGGTGGTGACAGAAGAGGACAGTGGAGTCAGCTGGTAGAGCAAGTGGTCTAGGACCAGCGAGAAGGTTCGGGAATGGGGGCGTGGCTTCGGACCGTATATAAGGGAGATGCACGGGAGACTCGGGGCTGTTGCAGTGGGGTCTGCGCCTCTGTGAGTGTGAGCACGTGGCTCGTGAATAAAGAAGGCCTTCCTAGGACAGTCCGTCAGAGTCGTCCTTACACAAGTAACGAATTGGCACGTTCTGTTTGTGACAAAAAATACTAAATTGTCTGGCGGATGGTGGCAGGTTTAAGGGCACATTTATATTTACGTGATCTAATCCAAAAAACGTATATTATGGATATTGGTCGCGAAAGCCTACGTTTTAAGTTTAATTATAGATTTTTTTTAAAGGATAGTTGCCACAATGAATCATTGTGTTTTAAAGGACTTCTTGTGCTAAGCATTCACACACGCACCGATTCTCACTTAAATAGTTAGCCAGTTGTTTTATTGTTTTGCGAGTGGTGTAATACTAACCAAGATATATCAGGAAGTTGTGTTTCCGTGGTGATTACACATTGGTCCTAAACTGCGATGTGGTGGAACACGTCTGTCTACCCATACACCAGGCCATCAAGAACCTTCCGCACCACCGTTTGAGGTCGCTCAACCTTCGACAAAGTGAGTTCAACCCTGATGGTGGTCGGATAGCAGCAATGGACTTCCACAAGAAGTCACGAACACCTCGTGAGAGGAGACCCTGGCTGCGATCTCCTGCCGATAAGCTCATGGACCACAAATCCTGAACCGCATCGTCCAGTGTGCAAACCATGGCAGAAAACCAAGCGCATGAGGGGGAAACGCTTCATCCCACACAGATGGAACAGGTGGAGTCCACACTTTTGCTGTGCCTGAGGTATGGCACCTCGACGCCTACAGGACATGACTTTCACAGCATCTGTGTGGTGATCCACCAACCCTTGCTGCTGCCTCCTCCACAACACTGGGCCACAGCTGTCACGTGCAGCAGCGTAGCCACCATCACCATGGCCTCACGGCTGTGGTTTGCAGTCTGCCAATTGAAGTCTGCCATGGACCTTCACTCCGTTCACAGGTTGTTTAATATCCTACCGTGCCATGAGTACACATGTCATAAGACACCGACTCATGATACACGTAAAACAATCGAAGAATACACTATTTACAATTAATGTAAATGTAGGCTTATTGGGTAAACATCACTATACAAATGAGTCAATTCGAGAAATAATACAAACGGGAGTAAACAATTATAGAAAAAAATCACCGCATTTACAGACCCACATTTGTGCTAGTTCAACCAACCACATGGGAGCGAATCGAAGAAATATACATGGAACATTTCGATTTAAAGCTTTCGTGACTGCAATGATTCATCTTCTTTGGTTCTTTCGGTAACATCACGTAGAACCAAAGAAGATACATGGAACAGTACAAACAAAACAGTACTAATGAAATGGTAATACATGAAACAATACATGTATTACAAGCTTTAAATCGAAAAATACAAACGAGTCCATAGAGAAACCGAGAGTCGCATCTGCGAATGGTTAGCAATCCGTGGGACCTCTGCTCGTGGTAGCGGGAGAGGCAGGAGCATGTGGAATCGCTGAGAGCCTGCATGGCCACTCACAGGTGAAATAGTCACTCGCATACACAGCCAGGCCCACAGCAGTTGGTGGCCATGCCTCTCTATGGGCAGGGGAGCGCATTTGCTGAAAGGGGTAATTCCGTGCGGTCCCTGATATTTCACAAGAATAAGAACGATGTCCGCTCATGACGCTGCACCGCCCACACGGTCCCCCTCATTGTCCCGAGATCCCACACGTGAATCGCGATCGGCCTCCACAGCCAGAGAGTCTCTCGCGACAAGAACATGTCCCATGTGGTGCAGGGAGCGGCAGTGGCGTCCTCCAAATGCCGCCGTGAGTGCCGGGGTTGTGGCTGTGCCTGCTGCTTTATCTACTTCCTTACGAAGAACCCCCCGATATTGCCATGAACATCCCGATGTAGCCCATTTTACAGCTTGTTTCAAAGAATAAAAATGTATAATCGTTGATCCTTCGGGAAATTACCCTTTTTCATAGCACATAAACCAACGTTATTATATTGTTTTTAAATTCTACAAATATTATTTCCCACCCTCCCTGCCACACGCGAGCAATGCTCGACAGCCGAACTCATGTTTTTAAATCTCAGAACTAAATTTTTGACAAAATGTGAGTGAAAAACCAAACTTAATCATGTTTGATGGTGTTTTTGGTGTTGTGCAATCATTCGTGATGGAGCTGAGACCAACTCACTATACTTGAGGACCTAGTTTAATCGCAACTCAGTCTCTGTGTGAGTCTACGGGTCTCTATGTAAGTTATTGGTCAAAGAGCTGAGACCATCAACTCACTGTACTTGGGAACCCAGTTAAACTTCATGCAAGTGACTGGCTGCCAGGATCAGAACCCAGGAGCTCAGCCGTGCCGGCTCAGCGCTCTGACCTCCGAGCCACATGTGGACTAAACCCGATTCGATCACACAGGTGGCCGAAAACAAACACCGTGGTCCCAAAACCCGATTCCCAGCAGCATCAGCTCAATGCCTCCAACACGGCCATTACGATCCACCTGGCCACTCGTTAGTGCATATCCCACGTGCAAGTTCGTGGTCGGACTCGAAGGGTTTTCCTTAAAGTCCCCCAGTTTCTGCGACGTTTAAAAGCCGCCCTTTTCACGCTGGTAAGCGAGTGAGACTCTGTGCAGCTCTGGCTTGAGGTCTGCAAAGGACGGCCTCTTCCTGTGTTCTGCGTGCCAGCACTTGAGAATGATCCGGTACACGGCGTCTGGGCAGCCTTCCGGCTTCTCCAGCCGGCCCCCTGAACAGACAAAGTACTGGATGTTCTTCATCGTCATCCCTAGAGACACACGCATGGGTGGCAGTTAACAACATGGTGGGCGGGAGAGCGGCACGTGCCATTTGGCACCCTCCCACCTGCCCCCTCCATCCTACGGCCCGATGTCGAGAACTTCAGGGGTTAGGGGGGGCTTTCTCCTGGAAGAATCAGCAGAGATTTAATTAACAAATAGCTGTATAAAATGAATGGCTACCGATAGAAAACCACCGCATTGGCTACCGAAAGAAAACCATTGCACGGTACCTGCTCATTGCTCTCGTAGAGAAAGGGGGGGGGGACTCAGAGGAGCCAGGAGGAGGAACTGCAGACGAGGAACAGGGAGGAAGCAGCCACATGGTGGGGAGCCAGCGCTACAACAATTGCCCAAGCTCTGCGGTGCTTTAGACATTAAGGTAATGACACCTGAATATATACTGGAGCAGCTGGAAAAGAACCCAAGCGTGTGAGGCAGGGGGTGATAGGTTCATCAATTAGCTCCCAGCCTGCGTGGGTGGGGCGGGGTGGTCGGGCGGGGTAGCCAAGTCCCCCCCCCTCCTGATGAGGGAGAGGGAGGGGAACAGGGGGACCATCGTGCCACAGCAGTGTAGGGGACACGCGAGGGACGGGACTTTGCCCAATACGGTCCGGCTTTGGGCCTTGCATCGAGCAAAACGTCGGACAACGGCCCGTGGTGACGACGTGCGGACAGCCACACCATCCCACTCGTCATCATCATCGTTTTTATTTGTTAAAAGCGTATGTCTTATCAAAATATCTCAGAGCGCTTTACAAAAGCAATAAAACTAATAATGACCGCACTCACGTGCTGGGTGCTGGGCCGCTCTCACCTGAGTATGGCATCGCCCCGAAGGTGAATATCTCGTAGAGGACCACGCCGAATGACCACACATCACACTCGCGCGTGTACACGCCGTGCTCCATGGTTTCCGGGGCAGTCCATGGGATGGGCACGTGCATGCCGTCCGTTATCTGGTAGTAGTCACCCTGTGCAGACCGCGAGCGTTTCCATCCCTCGTGAGCCCCACCGTCACGGACACAGCGCCCGGCAGCGAGTACAGCAGCAGCAGCAGCAGTAATACATTCACACGTTTGCGCATCACGTGACATTTTTTTATGAATGTGACTGTAAGGTGGAGGAGGGCGCACAGCACCCAAAACATCCATTGCGAATCACAGACATTTCGATATACGTGCGGCAAACCACGGGGGGGGGGGGGGGGGTTCCCATTTGGTTGCTGGCAACGCAACCCTCGTCCACAGCTGGAGATCACAGGTCGCACTGCCAAACGAGGCGTGGCTGTGTAATGGTAGCTGGAGCCTGACAGAGGTGGCTGCCAACTCACCACGTGGCACAACCATGTGGCCGAAATTGAGCCGGTAATGTAGGGTGGGAAAAGAGACCTAGGTGGGGTACAAGGCCCCTGTGTCGTGCTGCTCATGCGTGGTTCACCTCTCGATGTGCAGACACCACACATAAGTGTTCATTAATTGACCGTTAACACCTTAATATATAGAGGACTGCACAGCTTGGGCAATTGTTGGTGCTACTGCTATCTCCCCGCTCCTCATCTGTGGTTCCTCCTCCTGGTGCCTCCTCCGAGTCGCCCTCTGTCTCTCTCGATGTGAGGGATGAGAAGGTACCGTGTGGCCGTGGTGCCGCCACGAGGTCACGTCGTCGCTTGATGACCATAGAGACACCCCCCGCCCCCCGTCTCCAGCGCTCCCACCTTCAGGAAGTGGGCGAGTCCGAAGTCGGCCACCTTGCAGATGCCGGCGTCCCCCACGAGGACGTTCCGGGCCGCCAGGTCGCAGTGGATGTAGTTGTTGCTCTCCAGGTACTCCATGCCCGAGGCGACGCCGTGCGCCATGAACAGCATGTCCGCCAGGCCCAGCTCCTGCCTGCATCGGCCTGTGTTGGCAATGGTGGTGGCGGTAGTGGCGGTGACGATGACGGTGGTGGCGGTGATGGCGGTGGCAGTGATGGTGACGGTGGTAGTGGTGGCAGAGAGAGTATCGGTTATCTGATATAATTTTTACATAGTTTAGTATTCATGCCATTTTCATAGCACAGGGACATCATCAGAATCAGACTTTATTTATCCTGGAAAAATCCAATGAGCTATGAAGCTCTTTTCACAGATGCCCAGTAGGGGCGGCCATTCAACGTGAGGCGCTCTGCTTCACAGACAGGTACAGGTATCCATCAGGGTAGCGATGCTGCTCCTGCTGCTGCTGTGTGTGATCCCTACGAAGTAATTTGCAGGTGATTTTGCAGCATTTCAATGTTTTGTGGCCAATAACAGTAACATTGTTATAACTCTCAGCTATGAGTAGAAATTGCAGAGCCCAGTAGAAACCCGTGGAGGCCATGGGGAGATCATACAAATGGCAAACGCTCACACTCTCAGTCGCTCACACTCTGCAGAACAGAGTAAGAACATACACAATCCACACACGGCAAGGCAGCTCGAGTTGGGAATCAAACCCAAGCGTCTTCTTGCTATGAGGCGCGCGCGTTGGTTGCTGCTGCCGCCGATAATGTTACAGCTTCAGCCAGATATTGCTGGAGAGAGAGGGAGGGAGGGGAATGAGGAAGGGGGAGGGAGAAAGAGAGGGAGAGAGGGAGGAGGAGGGAGAGGGGGAGAGAGCTTCAGCCAGGTACAGCTAGAGAGAGGGAGGGAGGGAGGGAGGGAGGGAGGGAGGGAGAGGGAGAGAGCTTCAGCCAGGTAAAGCTGGAGGGAGAGAGGGAGGGAGGGGGGGAGGGAGGGAGGGAGGGAGGGAGGGAGGGAGGGAGGGAGAGAGCTTAAGCCAGGTAAAGCTGGAGGGAGAGAGGGAGGGAGGGAGGGAAGGAGGGAGGGAGGGAGGGAGGGAGGGAGGGAGGGAGGGAGGGAGGGAGGGAGGGAGGGAGGGAGGGAGGGAGGGAGGGAGGGAGGGAGGGAGGGAGGGAGGGAGGGAGGGAGGGAGGGAGGGAGGGAGGAAGCTTCACCCAGGTAAAGCTGGAGGCTGCCGTTCGGAATGAGCTCTGTGACGATCCAGCAGGCGGAGCGGTCCTGGCAGATGGCGAAGATCTTGAGGACGTTCTCGTCCTTGAAAAGAGTCATCTTCCTCACCTCGCTCAGGAAATCCTTCGGGGTCGTGGCTGAAAGGGCAAAGTTCACAGTTGACGTGAGTGCCAATGCTCGTTTAGCCTCAATGGTGCCACTGTTTGTGAATCACCACCGCCGGGTGCTGATTTTATTGTTGGAATGCTCCTTGTCTCGGAAACGTGAATAAAGATTTTTTTTTAATTTAAATTATTGAAATAAAAAAACCTAATGGATTGAAATGTTTGTATCATGCATGAAACTTTTTGTTAAAAGTGAAAATCTTAAATGGCGTGAAAAAATATTAAACTATCGTGCTCAAATAAGGACATAAAAAAGTTTAAGTCCATTGCAAGGGAAATGTGTAACTCACATTGCGACGGTGGGCGCAGGCCGTTGAATTCGTCGCTGCAGGATCCCTCCATCTGCCCCAAATCTAACACGAGAGAACGAGCGGTGAGTACAGCACAGAGAGAACACCAGGATATAGAGAGGACCACAGAACTTGGACAATTGCTGGTATCAGCTCCTCATTGCCTGGCCGCTCCTGCTGATGCTGCTGGGTCCCACTCCACTACCCACACACCAAGTCCCACCCCACTGCCCACACACCGAGTCCCACCCCACTACCCACACACCGAGTCCCACCCCACTACCCACACACCGAGTCCCACCCCACTACCCACACACCGAGTCCCACTCCACTACCCACACACCGAGTCCCACCCCACTACCCACACACCGAGTCCCACCCCACTACCCACACACCGAGTCCCACCCCACTACCCACACACCGAGTCCCACCCCCCAACCCACACACCGAGTCCCACCCCACTACCCACACACCGAGTCCCACCCCACTACCCACACACCGAGTCCCACCCCACTACCCACACACCGAGTCCCACCCCACTACCCACACACCGAGTCCCACCCCACTACCCACACACCGAGTCCCACCCCACTACCCACACACCGAGTCCCACCCCACTACCCACACACCGAGTCCCACCCCACTACCCATGGTGCTGGGTGCAGGCCGCGTGTTTGAGCGAGACAGCACCCACCCACATTGAAGATCTTGACGGCCACTCTGATGTGGCCATTCCACCGGCCTTCGAAAACGGTGCTGAACCGGCCCGCTCCCAGCTTCTCGCCCAGGTCGATGGACTCACGTGGCACTTCCCACTCGTTGAAGAGGTCCGGGCTCAGGCTGCTGATGGTTGGCACGTACTCCTGGCCAACGCGGGAAGGGGGGTTGGGAGTTGCAGGCAGTGGGGTTAGCAGATCGTACGCACAAATGTTGCAAATCTGCCTACTACCCCCGGGGTGGGATGGCGTCGAGGAGGAGCCGTACCATTGGCTCACCAGGAGAAGGCGGTATAGCAAAGTGTGGACTAAACTCCATCTGTCCCATCTGCACGGAGTAGAGTGGCGCCCCATCCCAAGCGTGGGTTTTCTCCGGGCACTTCAGCTTTCTGTCACGTGTATAAACACTCATTTAATCAGCTGAAAAGTCTTACTAGATAGAGGACCCCATAGCTTGGGCGACTGCTGCTAGCACTGCAGGTTGCCTTGTCGTGATGGAGGGGTGGCTCTGACAGAAATCTTCACCGCTCTTGCAGTGACCGGTGCTGTGCGCTGGCACCTTCTCGCAGGGCGGGCCGAGGGGACAGATCATGCCATCGGGCGTCTCCAGGTAGTGCTCCACCAGCTGCAGCACGGAGGCGAAGGCCAGGCCCTCCTGGATGCTCACGTGCCTGTCCGGTCCCTTCGTCACGAGGTAGTGCACCACCTCGCTCTGCGCATACACTGCCCACCCACCAGCCGGCGCCACAACACAATAACACTCGAGACGGGCGTTCTCATGCACAGGGATTGTCATCACGGGCATAGCAGAACCACAAAACACTGATAAGAAAACGATGAAACTATTTTTTTTTATTTTACCAGATAAGGAGCACTGAGCTATATAGCTCTTTTTCAGAAGCGACCCGGCCACAAATGATACCTCAACGAAGTGGTTTATTAAGTGAAATTTATAGGAGCCAAATACGCTAGACCAGTGGTTCTTAACCTTTACTCCAGCCTTGCACCCATTTGGTTCTCAATCGTAAATAAATGTATGTTAATAAATACATAGGGGTTTGATGAAACAAAGTAGTTGTACTTATGTGCCCTGCTTAATTTGTGTTTCAATTATTTACCTTGTGAAAACATCTGTCCGTGTCTCGCACCCCCAAAAAGGGCATCTCGCACCCTCAGGGGGTGCGTGCACCCCAGCTGAAGAACCACTGCTCTAGACGTATGTTGTTGACTCTACATTTTGGGAGAAAACCCGGAGGACCCAGAGAAAAATCCATGCTACCACAGGGAGCGAGACAAACAAACTCCAAATATACAGGAGTCAGTCGGGATTTAACCTAAGACCTCCTGCATACCAGGCGAGGTAGTTAACATCTCACCACCGTGACACTGCTGGATGCGGACCTCACAGTCAGAAGAAAGGGCCTGTGTTTGACTCTGACCCGGGCACCTTTCTGCGTGGAGTTGATATGTTCGAGGGTAATACCAAACGCAGTTACAATAACACATCACATAAAGTCTATTAAAGCTAACCAAATACTACACAAAGCCAGCGAATTATTATTACTAGAGAGAATACAGCACAACAGGAGTGAATTATATCACATTTCGAAATCTCTAAGGCACTTGCACTTAAATATCAGCAATAGTGTATCCATGCATTATTGGAATATAATCGATACTATAACACAACAATCGGCTGATAATGTATTTAATCTAACAAAAACTAACCAAATTAATACATTCTCTAGACTTCATAACAAACAATTTCCAACTAAAAACGAACAATTTTAAAACAAAACCTCAATGAACTGAACTAACACTGATTTAACCAGCGACATGATTTCCGTCCTTTCTAAAGGCTTTAACTTTGCCGTTACCCCACGCACAATTCCAGTGGATGAGATCATTACTGAGGTAGAATCAGCGTTAAGACATCTTCCACATAATGAGGCAGAGATGACTAGACACGAGGTTGCCAAAATAATTGAGAATAGCAAAGTACCAAAAGTAAATATTAGCTCTAACGAAGCAAAAGCCTTAAGAGAGCTCCGTGTAAATAAAGATATCCAAATCCTGGCAGCTGATAAAGGCCACACTACTGTAGTAATGTCACGAGCCGATTATGATACTACAATTCAATATTACTAGAGGAAAGTACCTACATTAAAATTAAACGAGATCCAAATAATACTTTAGAACGTAAGACTACTGCAATCATTGCAAATCCATTAATCCCCAAGACTGAGCAATACCAAATTAAGCCAAGGGCCTCAAAACCACCTAGACTGTATGGACTACCAAAGATTAATAAAATCGGCATCCCATTACGACCCATAGTCAGTACAATTGGCTCTGCCACGTATAAATTAGCAAAATATATAACTAAACAAATACTGCCCTACATCGGTAGGACATCTTTATTCATAAGAAATTCAGAACATCTTGTGAATGTGATTAAAGATATTAAACTTAACCCTAATGATATTCTGGTGAGTTTTTATGTGATTTCTCTGTTCACCAAGGTTCCAGTTAACGAGTCGCTTAAATTACTTGATACACTAGTAAAGAATACAGGTTTACCAAAATATATTCCAAAACTAGCTGACCATTGTTTAAATAACACTTACTTCTTATGGAGAGGTGATTTCTTTAAACAAAAGGAAGGAGCAGCAATGGGCTCTCCTTTATCTCCTGCTATAGCAAATCTGTACATGGAAGACTTTGAAACAAGAGCACTTGCCTCAAGTACATTAAAACCATAGTTTTCGTTTAGATATGTAGATGACACTTTGGTTGTCTGGCCACATGGTAAAGATGCACTTAATGAATTTCTAAATCATCTCAATGCACAAAACCCGGCCATCCAGTTCACCGTGGAAATGGAGTTGAATAACATGCTCCCTTTCCTATATATTTCGCTTGGACATGGTCTAAATGGCAAAATAGCGCACAGCGTTTACAGAAAGCAAACGCACACTGATGCCTATCTGAATGTAGATTCACATCATCACCCAGCTCAGAAATCCTCTCTTATCAAGACGCTCATACATCGGGCTAAAACAGTGTCAGATGGTGAAAGTCTAGGGAGAGAGATTAACATGTTAAGGAAGAACTACGACAGAATGGCTACAATAATGCTCAAGTTAACAGAACATTTAATTGACAAATCACGATCGCAAAGCAACACTGCTGAAAGTGATCAGATTATTAAAAAATACCATATATCTCAGGAGTAACTGACAAATTAGCCCGTGTTTTGCAAAAGCAAAACATTCAAGTAAGATTTGGTACAGTACACAAAATTTAAAAAACTAGTATCTTGTACTAAAGACGAATTACCTAAATTATCAACAGAAGGTGTATATCAGATGAATTGCTTATGTGGCAGATGCTATATTGGACAGACGGGACGTAACATCAGCATAAGACTAAAAGAACACCAAAGGAACATTAAATTATCTCAAACACAACTGTCGGAGTGGCAGAACATGCTTGCCAACAAGGACACTCAATTGATTTTGATAACGTTGAAGCGTTGTGTAAAACTAATTATGACTGGCCAAGACAAATTAGAGAATCCATTGAAATTGAGAGAAATACAAATAACTTTAATCGCTCTGACAGCGACAGGCTTAGTGCGGCTTGGAAGCATATTATTAAATAATACATATTACCATTACAATTCCTTATAGGTGAAACGCATACTAACTGATTACTAACGTAGTATATCATTACAATACCCCCCCCCCCCCACCTCTGATTTCTACACCTGATTTGGTATAGTGATTGGGTGGTTCAGTTATTAAATAATACACATTGCAACTGATTGCTAATCTACAACTGATTACTAATGATAACATTTAACTGATTACTAATCTATTATATAATTACACCCCCCCTCTCCGCCTCTGATCTCTGCACCTGATTGGGTTAAATGATGACGTCACCCTGCTGCTGCTCTATTTAAGACCGGGAGCAGGTGGAGGGCTTCACTATTCTGGCAAATCGCCCGATGATATTAAATGTAATTACCAGCGAAACGCGTGCTCAAAAATTGTAAATGTTGTGGATTCACTCTTCAACACGCCGGTGGACTAACGTAGTGAACTATTTTGTCTTTTATCAACGTGACACTTTTTTTACTGATTGGCCATGTCGGGTGGTGGAGGGTTGTGACACATTTATAAATAACGCAATCTAACCCAAAAACCTTTGAGGAATGTATATGTTCTCTCGACCTGGCCTATAGAGTGTGTGAATAAGTGGAGTTTGTGTGATCTCCTCCTGTTCTACAGAGTGAGTGAGTGGAGTCCGTTTGATCTCCCCCTGTTCTACAGAGTGAGTGGAGTTTGTATGATCTCCCCCTGTTCTACAGAGTGAGTGGAGTTTGTATGATCTCCCCCTATTCTACAGAGTGAGTGAGTGGAGTTTGCATGTTCTCTTCCTGTCCTACAAGTGAGTGAGCAGAGTTTGTATGTTCTCCCCCTGTCCTACAAAGTGAGTGAGCAGAGTTTGTATATTCTCCCCCTGTCCTACAAAGTGAGTGAGCAGAGTTTGTGTGATCTCCCCCTGTTCTACAGAGTGAGTGAGTGGAGTTTGTGTGATCTCCCCTTGTTCTACAGAGTGAATGAGTGGAGTTTGTGTGATCTCCCCCTGTTCTACAGAGTGAGTGAAGTGGAGTTTGTGTGATCTCCCCCTGTTCTACAGAGTGAATGAGTGGAGTTTGTATGTTCTCCCCCTGCATGCGTTTCCTCCCATTGGTGTTGGACAAAAAATTTAATGCAGAATCCCCCTAAAAAAGTATTTCGAACCAGTGTCTCTCTTCTGTGTAAAGAGGTAATCATTATAATTGACGTGTAGGTTATTACAGTAGACTGCACATGTTTTTACAGACCTAGGCTGAACAAGAATTCGCCCGGCCGTTGGCCTACAGTGAAAAAAAGTTTGGCAGCCCTCTTCAAATGTATCTGTATGTGGCCTAAGCCAAGCGGACCACAATGCACTTTGGTCAGGAAGTGCTGGAGGTGTTTCGCGTGATGGCACATCGTGGAGGTTCCTTGGCCGTACTTCACCAAGGCGGTCGCTGTACGTTGGTGAAGGCGTACAGCAACAGACGCTGGAGTGCACAAGTAAACTAAAAACGAAACTACTGAGGACCGAACAACGCCGTGGCCTTCGCTGTTCTGCCGCCCTCTGCGGACCACTTTGATCTGAACCATCCGGAAAAGTGCACGGCAGTTGTCCACAAAAGCATCGAGCTCCCGGGACGCTGATCCATTAGACGAATGACGATAGCCGGTCGCTGATCTCTGACTGGCTGCCCCGTTAGACCCACGACTGTAGCCACCCGCTGCTCTCTGACTGGCTGCCCCGTTAGACCCACGACTGTAGCCACCCGCTGCTCTCTGACTGGCTGCCCCGTTAGACCCACGACTGTAGCCACCCGCAGCTCTCTGACTAGCTGCCCTGTTAGACCCACGACTGTAGCCGGCCACTGCTCTCTGACTGGCTGCCCCGTTAGACCCACGACTGTAGCCAGCCGCTGCTCTTTGACTGGCTGCCCCGTTAGACCCACGACTGTAGCCAGCCGCTGCTCTTTGACTAGCTGCCCTGTTAGACCCACGACTGTAGCCGGCCACTGCTCTCTGACTGGCTGCCCCGTTAGACCCACGACTGTAGCCTGCCGCTGATCTCTGACTGGCTGCCCCGTTAGACCCACGACTGTAGCCAGCCACTGCTCTTTGACTGGCTGCCCCGTTAGACCCACGACTGTAGCCACCCGCTGCTCTCTGACTGGCTGCCCCGTTAGACCCACGACTGTAGCCAGCCACTGCTCTCTGACTGGCTGCCCCGTTAGACCCACGACTGTAGCCACCCGCTGCTCTCTGACTGGCTGCCCCGTTAGACCCACGACTGTAGCCAGCCACTGCTCTTTGACTGGCTGCCCCGTTAGACCCACGACTGTAGCCTGCCGCTGATCTCTGTCCGGCTGCCCCGTTAGACCCACGACTGTAGCCTGCCGCTGATCTCTGACTGGCTGCCCCGTTAGACCCACGACTGTAGCCAGCCGCTGCTCTTTGACTGGCTGCCCCGTTAGACCCACGACTGTAGCCGGTCACTGCTCTCTGTCCGGCTGCCCCGTTAGACCCACGACTGTAGCCGGCCGCTGCTCTCTGTCCAAACGCGGCAGGGAGAAGACGTTACCAGAGAGCGAGTAGGAGTCGGGGCGCGAGGGGCTGGCGCGCACCAGGAACCTTCCCTCTTGCCTGGGCTCCTTCTTCAGAAGCCTCTCGCACTCCTGCCGCTGCATCAGCCCAAAGTACCACCTGGGGGACGACAAACATGACCCGGTGGTCATCGCGTGCACTTCGTGAGAGCCGCGCGGCGGCATTGGTGTTGGCGACTCGGAGGCACCAGGAGGAGGAACCACAGACGAGCTGGAAGATAGCAGCCACTCAATGAGGAGCCGGTGCTACCAACGATTGCCCCCAAACTCTGCAGTCCTCTATATGTTTAGGGTTTAGGGTGTTATTGGCCAATTAATGAGTGCTTAGATGTTTGAGGGTTATTGAAGTTCGAGGCATTACAATGACTTCACAAAAGTGGGCTTGACCAGGTCATGTCATGCTCGCATTACTCTTGCTATCGTTATGCCACTCGTTAACCCAGGGAAATCCCACTGAGTCTCAAGGCTCTTTTTCAGGAGGGTTCTGCCAAATTTTCGCAGTACATGGGGCGACGTTGCTGCTGCTGGTATTGTGTGTGATCCCAACTGAGTAATTTGCAGGTAATTTTTCAGTATTGGGATGTTTGTTTGGCCAATACCAGGGGCACTATAAGTCTGTGTGGGTTTAGCTATGGGATGAAACCAGACAGCCCGGAGGAAATCCATGCCGAGCAGGAGGGAGAACACACACTCCACGTAGAAAGGAGCCCGAGTTGGAAATCGAACACAGGCGCTTTTTGCTGCGAGGCACGAGTGTTACTATTGTGCTGCCAGACGGCGGCAAGTATCTGCCTGGTGAGCAGCATTGGTATGGACACAGGTGCTATAGTATAATGATCCCGAGTAGATCCACACCCAGTGATGGCACTGCAAGTCCAGGAAACAACCGACTATTAAGGTCAGCACCATCGTGCCCAGAGTCGTCTTTGTCTCTCCAGTGCTGCTGTTCACCCACCAAACCGTGCCATCGTTTAACGCTGAGTCGACCCAAGGGAGGCCCAGACCAGGTTCAGACACAACAGTGTTTGTTTTATCATGATGTTATCCACTCCCCCTGTACACACAAAGACAAAGGTCCCCCCTGTAGCCTTTAACAGACTGCTGTGTGGGTAATTGCTGTTCGTGAGTAGCATTTTTGAAGGCTGAGGGGGGTGGGTGGTCAGCACCACGCCAAGCCACCTTTATCTCCCCAATGCTAATGTTTTCACATCGCACAAAGTACTAATTTGATGCCGAGTCGACGACGGGGAGGCCCAGAACAAGGAAAAAAATATGCTCCACTGTTATTGGTAGTGAGCCGAAATCGAACTCGGGTCACCGGATTTCGCTGCGCAGTGCGCCAACCACTGCGCGCCCGCTCCCCCTCCACACACGCAGCGTGATTCTTCGCGGTTGTGAACGGACCGGCGTATACCGCAACGAGATCGCCGAAGGAGAATTTATATTAGGTTCAACAAGGGGAATAGAGGCAGCGTTTCAATAGAGCTGCAGGCGACGTCCTCTCTGCTAACATTCACCGTGAAGGCCTCAGCGAGGCCCTGAGTTTGGCTCGCGAGAGTTCAGCCAAGTCGGGGTTCGGGCGATCCCATCAATGACTGGCTTCGTGTCGGGAGAGGTCACGCAGTGTTTATTTGTTTAACCCCGCGAGGGAAACTCGAGCGAGACCCCAGAATAGTCTCATTTGCAAGAGTGAGAGAGCGAGTTTACTTTTCAAGTAGATTGTGTTTAACCAGAGGTGGGACAATGGCTCTGAATAAAGAGTACAGCAATCTGATAGAAAATCAGAGCCAGGCAAGAGCTCTACAGAAACCGATAACACCGCACAAAGATCAATCAATATTATAGTCATGTAAATATCGTGTTACGTAAGTTGTGTCAGATAAATAAAAATGTCGCCGAGGACGACTCAGAGGCACCAGGAGGAGGAACCAGAGCCGAGGAGCGGGGAGGGAGCAGCAGAGGCCAAATCACGGATGTTTATATGTGGGAGGAAACCGGAGCCCCGGAGCAAAGCCACGTGTGCGAGGGAGAAATACTCGATCCCATAGAGGTGTAACAAGTGTAGTCCACATGTCGACTGCTCCGCCTTTTCCTGGCGAGCCAGGGTACGGGAAGGGAGTTTCACAGCCCATCTGTGTGTGACCCACCAACCCTCGCTGCTGCTGTCTCCACGGCGCTCGATCGCAGCAGCCACGTGCGTAGCCACCGCAGCCCGGCTACACAGCTTTGATTGTTGTACAGTACTGATATATAAACAGTACGGTACTCAAAGCTCTTGCACCGATAGATGCAATGATCCATTGCGGTGCTGCCATCTCATAGCTACCTGGCAGCCCCATTAACATTACAAAATGTGGCAGTCCCAGACTTTATATTTGTGCGCGTGATGGCGGCAGCAGCAGCAGCGAGGTTCATGAGCTCGATGCCAATGTCGAGTTCTGCTGCTGCCGTGACGAGAAAGGGCTTCAGCAGAGGGAGACTTCGTGTCGCGTCGCTGTTCTTCAAACTCCGTTGAAGGAGCGCTGACCAAAGTGGGTTGACTGTGCGGTCCTCAGTTTGGGTTGGCACAGCCACAGCCGCGCCGCTCTCGTCGCCTCTCTATGCTCCCAAGCACGAAGGCGTTTGTGGTGCAGCACCGGCCTGGGGACGTCAGTGATCTGATTTGTTTGTGAAACGAGGGGAAACCCCCTCGGAGCAGAAACACCGCGCGAGGCGGAAACCCACGAGCTGACAACAACTCAACAACCACCACCACCACACAGACACGGGCACACGCAGCACTCAGTCGTTGTTCATTATGCAAACGTCCATCACGAGTTCCTGAGGAACTGCGTATTGTTCCTCTTGTTGTTGTTGTTGCACTACAGAGGTGGATACCTGCTGGGGTGCCGCTTTCATCCTCTCGTCACCCCCCACGGGTTGTGCGGAACTGGGGACTCCACCAGGGACGGCTCCCAGCGGCGGTCTTTGCAGCAGTGATGACTACTGACGTGCTGATGAGTCTTAATCAGCACGAAAACCGGTCCGCACTGCTGTCAGCCGTTCACGTTCCCTCAAATGTATTTTCACGGTGAGCTAAGACAGCAAGACGACCGCAGTGGAGTTCTTCACGAGCTGCTGCTGGCTGTTTGTGTCGAGGCCGCGCGCCTTTACTCGACTCGTTCTGAACGAGACTCAAGCCGCGCTTTGCTGCCGACAACCGGCGCGCTTGCACGCACTCGCTGTGGCGTCTTCTTGGGTCGCAGCAAAGGCTCATCCATCAGACGTTCGGCGCACGGCGGATACAGCGCGGAGTGCACAGCGTGGAGTGCCCAGCGCAAAATACAGCCCTTTTGTGGATCCACTGCTGGATCCACCTCCCCACTCCGTACAAAGTCACTGAGGATGTTTGGCCACGAAATGGTTCGTGGATTTGAGAAAGAAAAGGGCGCTGGAGCAGTTCCAGATATCACTCGCCACTGATGTTTGCCGTGGGCGTGATTGGGACCCTTTGAGGCTAACACATCGGAGTGTGTGGGTGAGTGTGTGGGTGAGTGAGTGAATTGTGATCTGCAGTGAGGTGGTGATTGAACAGTGTGGTGGATGAGATGAAAGTCAGTGTCTGGAAGGTCGAGTCGTCAACACGGGTGGCGGAATCAAAGGGTGATGTTACTCTACTGGGAAGGGATTTTCTTTCAATCATGCTGCATAGCTCTCTGATATTGAGTTCCCAGCACGCGGAGTGAAACGTCGGACACCATGCCTACCGACACGCGGTACAACCCGACAACGCGTCAGAAGTCCAAAGACTTAAGTTCGTGAGAATAAGAAGCATGGTAGTAGCGATAGAAGAGTGACAAGGAGGCAACTGAGCTCCAGTCAGTGAGCTGAGTGAGCGAGGGGCTGGAATGAATCAGGGGTGAGTGTTGCTGGCCGGACTCGTCGAGGCTTTCACGACCAATGTAATTATTCATAATTTATGTTTGGGTCAGATAATCGTACGTGAGTCAACCCTTCCTCCACCCGACCAAGCAAAGTTAAGCACGCTGACAAGTGGTGAACAAACGTGCCAATCTATTACTGCTTCACCACGCCGGGAACAGTGGAGAGCGATCCCCATCATTGAACAGTTGGCTCGTACGACGTTTCGCTGGTGGTTACCAACAAGCATCAGCAGCCCCCTCGTCACCACCGCTCTGTTGCCAGCAATCGCGGCAACTTGCGCGATCAATTACGACTCAAAGAACCGTATCGTGTCAACTCACGGCATTGCCTCCAGGCTGAGCGCGGGAGCGATGTAGTTTGCCGGGATGAAGCCTCTTGTAACCTCCTCGTCCACCTCGTCCACCTCCTCTGGCTGAGCCAGCCACCAGTCGGCGTTTGTCCTCGCGATGATGCGAAATCTCTGGCCCTTCTTGAAGCTCATGTCCACCTGGGCCCTCGCCTTGTAGTCGTGCAGAGCAACGAACGCCACCTCCTCAACCACCTCGCCGACGTCACTCGGAAGCCGCTGTATCTGGGTATGCTGTTTGTCATCTTGGACGTCCCCTAAATTCACTTCGGCAGCGCCGTGCGCTCGGCAGCAGTGGCAGCATCGTTTCCTGAACGAGGCCCAGCAACCGCTGCCTTCTGCCATCATCGCCCTCAGTTGCGCAGCTAAGTTGGAGGCAGGCTGCCACTCTGGAGTAACGTTGACGGCCCAACTGTAGCAATCGCCTCCTGCTGGGTTACTGATTCATTAACCCCGGAGCTGTTAAATCGGGAATGAGTAACGAAACGTTCAGTCTCCTCCTTGTGCTCACGTGTTTGGGGTAAACTGGAGGGTGTAACGCTGCCGTGTGTTGCGAGGTTGGAATTGGGTGAGTGGGTGAGCCCCGCTGCTGGCTCGCCAAGTCACCCCTCAGCTGCTGGCTCACCGAGTCACCCCTCAGTTGATGGCTCACTGAGTCACCCCTCAGCTGCTGGCTCACCGAGTCACCCCTCAGTTGATGGCTCACTGAGTCACCCCTCAGCTGCTGGCTCACCGAGTCACCCCGCAGCTGCTGACACACCGAGTCACTCCGCAGTTGATGGCTCGCCAAGTCACTCCGCAGTTGATGGCTCACCGAGTCACCCCTCAGCTGCTGGCTCACAGAGTCACCCCTCAGCTGCTGGCTCACAGAGTCACCCCTCAGCTGCTGGCTCACCGAGTCACTCCGCAGTTGATGGCTCACTGAGTCACCCCGCAGCTGATGGCTCACCGAGTCACCCCTCAGTTGATGGCTCACCGAGTCACCCCTCAGCTGATGGCTCACCGAGTCACTCCGCAGTTGATGGCTCACAGAGTCACCCCTCAGCTGCTGGCTCACCGAGTCACTTCGCAGTTGGTGGCTCACAGAGTCACCCCTCAGCTGCTGACTCACCGAGTCACTCCGCAGTTGATGGCTCACAGAGTCACCCCTCAGCTGCTGGCTCACCGAGTCACTCCGCAGTTGATGGCTCACAGAGTCACCCCTCAGCTGTTGACTCACCGAGTCACTCCGCAGCTACTGGCTCACCGAGTCACCCCGCAGCTGCTGGCTCACCGAGTCACCCCGCAGCTGATGGCTCACCGAGTCACTCCTCAGTTGATGGCTCACCGAGTCACTCCGCAGCTGCTGGCTCACCGAGTCACCCCGCAGTTGATGGCTCACCGAGTCACTCCGCAGTTGATGGCTCACAGAGTCACCCCTCAGTTGATGGCTCACAGAGTCACCCCTCAGCTGCTGGCTCACCGAGTCACTTCGCAGTTGGTGGCTCACAGAGTCACCCCTCAGCTGCTGACTCACCGAGTCACTCCGCAGTTGATGGCTCACAGAGTCACCCCTCAGCTGCTGGCTCACCGAGTCACTCCGCAGTTGATGGCTCACAGAGTCACCCCTCAGCTGTTGACTCACCGAGTCACTCCGCAGCTACTGGCTCACCGAGTCACCCCGCAGCTGCTGGCTCACCGAGTCACCCCGCAGCTGATGGCTCACCGAGTCACTCCTCAGTTGATGGCTCACCGAGTCACTCCGCAGCTGCTGGCTCACCGAGTCACCCCGCAGTTGATGGCTCACCGAGTCACTCCGTAGTTGATGGCTCACCGAGTCACCCCGCAGTTGATGGCTCACCGAATCACTCCGTAGTTGATGGCTCACCGAGTCACCCCGCAGTTGATGGCTCACCGAATCACTCCGTAGTTGATGGCTCACCGAGTCACCCCGCAGCTGCTGACAGAAACAGCGAGGGAGGAAACGCGAGGGGTTGTTTATTCCCCTGTGTCGGATTTAAAAAGCGAACGGCGTCATGTTAATTCGAGACATGGGCACGGTGCATGTCCACCGTACACATACATCCTCTGGTGGTTTAATAGTTTAATAGCATTACTGATTGACAGAGCTGTTAATGGCTATGTAATCATGCATTGCTATTAATATTAGTAAAGCTGTAAGTGTAAAAGAAACCATCGTCACGTCATCCCGTTTAAAGTTGCAGATGTAATGAACAGTGACGCGGTTATTATAGAGTTGGCCATTGTGATTCAAATCAAACTCACCAAACGTCGGGTGTCGGAGCGGACTTAGCGGCCTCGTGTGATCAGAATGATGACTGCACTGGAGCCAGCTCATGGTCATGACGATGGTGGTGGTGGACGATGGTGGTGGTGGTGGTGGACGATGGTGGTGACGGTGGACGACTCCGACTCTGCTATCGGCTCGGGCTCCACCCAACGCCGCGCCCCGCAGTCGCGCTCCGCTCTCCTCACCTCGAGCCCCGTAGGTTCCGTGTCGTCCGTCGCCCCTCAATTACATTCGGAATCCTTTCGGACTTGAAATATATATGGCACGCAAATGTGATTGACTCGCCTATACGCAGAGTCAAAAGGTTATGATTAAGTAATAATGACACTGTGAACGGTTATACATACCTTGGGTTAATATCAGATTACTTAGACTTGTGGTAATCTTCACCGCTAGCTTACTAGGCACCCGCATACAGCATGGATTGCTTTAATTAGGGAATTTATTCTACCCCAAATATATAAAATAGCATCCCCACTCAATTAGTTGAGTCAAGCAATTCGGCTGTACGTGGTGTAGCGGTTAGCAACGCAACCGCGCTCGGAACGCAACGTGTAAACACACAGACCCAAGATCAGCTTCCCAGCCACGGTCATCGTCGCCTTTGCATCATCAGTGGCGACTGGAGAGGCTGAACCAGCCCTGCCAGCACGTCCCCATCAGCACCACCAACACGCCGCACTAAGCAGCGTGGTGATGAAATACGACCCCAAGACGATTGTCACGTACGAGCGGTGGCAGCGCGAGTGGGGAGGCCTTCGGGTGCGGCACACGAGCCGCGCGAGCGCTGGGGAACCACGCACGGAGGAGGGGGGGGGGGGGGTCGAGGTGTCGTCCTCTGCGTACGGGGCGCTCAGGGCTGGAGGAGGAGGAGGAGGAAATGCATTCCTGTGTTGGTTGCGCAAGGGCTGGACTCGCGACACGTGGCGGCCCCTTTCCACGCGCGCGGTCCGAGATGCTGCCCGACTGGTTCGTCGCGTGACCAGGCGGCCTGGAAAATCCGCCCGAGTTAAATGAACGAGCAGCGGCTTCACCATCACCACCTGTGTCGTGAGCCCCTACGACGAGGGTGTCGATCGACGGGTAACACGCGTGGGGGTGGGGGGGGGGGGGCACAATTGAATGGGGGGGGGGGGGGTGTGGAGGCGGGGGCAATTAGTCTTGAATTGGGGATGTTCATAATTCATCATCTCGACTCGTCAGCTCGTGACACTGCGCCGCTGCCACGGCCGCATTGTGCCCGCACCTCGCTCAGAGAGAGAGAAGGGGGGGCGAGTCAGAGAGAGAGGGGGGGCGACTCAGAGAGAGAGGGGGGGCGAGTCAGAGAGAGAGGGGGGGGCGAGTCAGAGAGAGAGAGAGGGGGGGCGACTCAGAGAGAGAGGGGGGGCGAGTCAGAGAGAGAGAGGGGGGCGACTCAGAGAGAGAGGGGGGGGCGACTCAGAGAGAGGGGGGGGGCGACTCAGAGAGAGAGAGGGGGGGCGACTCAGAGAGAGAGAGGGGGGGGCGACTCAGAGAGACAGGGGGGGCGACTCAGAGAGAGAGGGGGGCGACTCAGAAAAAGGGGGGGGCGAGTCAGAGAGAGAGAGGGGGGCGACTCAGAGAGAGAGGGGGGGGCGACTCAGAGAGGGGGGGGCGACTCAGAGAGAGAGAGGGGGGGCGACTCAGAGAGAGGGGGGGGCGAGTCAGAGAGAGAGGGGGGGGCGAGTCAGAGAGGGGGGGACGAGTCAGAGAGAGAGGGGGGGCGAGTCAAAGAGAGAGGGGGGGAGCGACTCAGAGAGAGAGAGGGGGGGCGACTCAGAGAGAGAGGGGGGGCGAGTCAGAGAGAGAGGGGGGGGCGACTCAGAGAGAGAGGGGGGGCGAGTCAGAGAGAGGGGGGGGGCGAGTCAGAGAGAGAGAGGGGGGCGACTCAGAGAGAGAGAGGGGGGCGACTTAGAGAGAGGGGGGGGGCGAGTCAGAGAGAGGGGGGGGCGACTCAGAGAGAGAGGGGGGGCGAGTCAGAGAGAGGGGGGCGACTCAGAGAAAGAGGGGGGGCGACTCAGAAAGAGGGGGGGCGAGTCAGAGAGAGAGAGGGGGGGCGACTCAGAAAGAGGGGGCGACTCAGAACGAGAGGGGGGGGCGACTCAGAGAGAGAGAGGGGGGGGCGACTCAGAAAGAGGGGGCGACTCAGAACGAGAGGGGGGGGCGACTCAGAGAGAGAGAGGGGGGGGCGACTCAGAAAGAGGGGGGGGGCGAGTCAGAGAGAGAGAGAGGGGGGGGCGACTCAGAAAGAGGGGGCGACTCAGAAAGAGGGGGGGGGGCGACTCAGAGGCGCCAGGTGGAGGAGGAGGTGGAGGAGGACCCAGAGATGAGGAGCAGGGGAGGTAGCAGCAGCCACGGGGAGGGAGGAGCTTCTCTTCCAACAATTGCCCGAGCTCTGCGCTCCTCTGTATATAACGACGCAACAGAGGAGTCCCCTGAAGAGGGCTCAACACGCCTCACCGTCGGGTCCTCGTCTCGCTGCTGCCTGCTGCAAGCGGTGGCCGCACTCTCAGCTATTAAGCTGGTGGCCGACAACGAACAATGTTGGCACACAATCCATGGCAGGTGCGGATGGTTGGTGCACAAATGTAGAATTAAAAACTCTCCAGCAGTGTGCGACTTCCACAAATACGAAGGAGACATCACAGCGATCTAACTCCGCTGCTCCTGACGCGGTCATCTGGCTTGAGCAGCTGGATGTGATAGAAAGAAGACGCCAAACATGAATGGCAGTTCTATTGATGCGGTGGTCTGGATTAAGTTGAGGAGAGCGTTTGGTACACATGCAATGCTGCACTCCTTTATGAGCACCCGCACCCCCCCATAACTGTTTGACCATACTTCACCAAGCTGGTTGATGGGGGTGCAATGTTGTGGTAGTGCAGTGGTGAGCGCTGCTGTGCGCTACGAACCCAGTGAGCCGTATTTCGATTCAAGCTCACGACCAATAATTATTACAGTGGCACATATCTGAACTGGTCCTCCCTTAGGTCGACTCAGCCTTAATGGGTTTCCTTGTGCGGTGTGTAAACATCAGCACTGGGGAGACAAAGGCGGCCGGGCGTGGTG